CCAACGCACTGGGGGGCATCTAGGGGCTCCGGCGGAAGGAAAAGTGGCGCATGGGCCAACACTGTCATGCGAGAAACGCCTTTTCCCCGCTTAGATTCGACCTCACGCGTTGTAGGACACCACTTTCCCTTTCGCCGCCATGCGGATCCCGGCGCCACCAACCTGCACACAGCCACTGCTCCGTCGCTAAAAAGGCCATTTCCCCGCCGAAAAGAGAGGGTTTCGCCGCGGCAACCTCCATCCCGCTCCTGGGCGAGCTTTCCTGGCCTCCGGCCACTGCGATGAATTACGTGTTAAAAATAGTTTTTGTTGAATTTGTGCCGAAGTGTGCCGAATATGGGCCTAATTTGCTCCGAATTTAGGCCGAAATCGACGGCCGGGAGGCGAACTTGGGGGATCGACTGGAAACCCGAACCCCACGCCGATTTTATCGCCGGTTGACCCCCAAACGACACTATTTCAAGCCCTTAGGGGGCTGAACGGTTTGAGATGCTCTTATAGCGCTGTTTCCCATTTCTGGAGTGCAAGATGTTTTCGGTTTCAAAGTATTGTTTTTGTTAAGGCATACACCCCTTTCCGTCCTGGCCCGAGCCCATTTTATTTATTTTTTCCTCGTTTGCAATGTATGCTTGCAGCTTGCGCGCGACATATGCGAGTGGGCGCGCCTATGTCTCGTTTGCAGTGAGATGTAAGGCAGCCTTGCCTGAAGGCGACCGCGAGATGGGCCGGCACAGGTGCGTGCGAGGCCATATGTCACAACCTTCTTTTCGTCTGTTTTTCCATGTTTTTTGTTTTTGTTTTTTACTTTCTTGTTTTTACTTTTGTTTATACTTTAAAATATTCTAAATATATATTACAAAAAATAATTTACCTAAAACATTTGACAAGTGTTAATCAAGCATTTGAAAAATGTTAAATGTCTATAGAGAAAATGTTTCTCATGCATACAAAAAATATACAATGTGTATGTAAAAAGTTGATCATGTATTTAAAAACAATTAATCAGGCATTTGAAAACTGTTAATCAAGTATTTCAAAAAATGTTAATCAAGCATTTCCAAAATGTTAAATGTGCATAGAAAATATGTTTCCCGTGTACACCAAAAATCTATACAATGTGTATGGAAAAAGTTGATCATGTATTTAAAAAACATTAACCATGCATTTAAAAAATATATGAATCAAGCATTTAGAAAATGTCAAAAGTGTATAGAACACTTCAGGTAGACCAGCTATGGAGAAACATAGTTGGAAGATACTAGAAAAATGTCCGTGCAATGCAATGGAAAAAGAAAAGCAACATACGTCCTTAGCCCAATAATTATGGATCAAGACCCCGCAAGTCCACGCCTCTATTTCAGTAGACCTATCAAACTTTTTTTTACATGGTCTTAATTTATGTAATATAATCAATTAATTGACGGTTCGACCATATGTTAGTTCACCAATGACAAAAAAGTATAGTTAACTATTCCTGAAAAAAATCATTTTGTTACTCCCTCCATTCCACAATGTAGTGCTTTCTCTATCCACGTGCTTCAACTTTGACCGTAAATTTAACTATCAAGACCGATTGCGGCGGGAGCAAAAATTATATCAATGAATTCGTATTCGAAAGAAGTTTTCAATTATATAATTTTTTTTCTTCCGTCGCAGTTGGTCTCGTTGGTTAAATTTATGGTCAAAGTTGGACCTCGGAAAGCGTGGGTGCACTATATTTTAGAATGAAGGGAGTACCATATAGAGCGCATTCATCAAACATATAGAGCGCATTGTCCAACTTCAAGGATGACTGAACCTGGGGGTGAAAGGTAATGGAAGGAACGGACTATGATGTGGGTGGTGCAGAACAGGCCACTTGAGTTCGATCTCATCCGAATTGCCCATCTTGTTAGGCTGATGTTCATGCTTCCACACGGTTAAGGCTTGTCTCTCTTTGCCGCCTCCCTACCATATGGATAGAAGAGCCTGAATCAGAGAAATGATACACTAATATCACTCTTCTATCATGCTAGGCACTATTAAGAACCTACACTTTGCCTCTAAGAAATAGAAATAGTTCACGATAGTAAACAATTGTAAGAAGCAAAAGGATAAATGACTCGAGGGATCTTTCAAAGGAAAATTTTGCATCAGTAAAACTTACAAAGGTATAATTGCAAATCCAGTCCCAAAATCCCCTGTCCGTTTCCCGTCACATGTATGCAGCCACGGATGTCAAGCAAGGCTGGTCTGAGCCAACCCATTCATTCATATAGGCCACCATGCCATGGCTTGTGGTGTCTTTGGCATGCTTGTAATTGTAAAGGAGAGCAAGGGGAAGAGGCAAGGTTGTGATGCTACACATCATACTCTGACTTTTTCAAGCGGATTAGAATTTAGGGGCCAAATAATTTCAGATTTGGAGAGAAAATCGCAGAAAAATGTGCTGCTATGAAGCCTATAGTCCCCTGTTATTTTGAAGCTCCTGCACCAAGAAACAAATATCAATGCACTGCTGTAGTAATCCAAACCAAAACAATTCAAGTGAGCTATCCTAATTGTACTAATCCTAATCCTCCTCGGCCAGTAGCCAACAACTTCCTCTGTCTGAAACAGCCCGCTTCCTTTGCCTATAGAGGCCCTGTTTGGTTCGGCTGTGGATTTCTAAAAGCAGCTGTAAAAAATCTGTTGTAGAAAAATAGCTGTGAAAAATCTGATGTGAAAAAGATGTAGTCATTTGGCAAACCAGCTGATACAACTTTTTCAAATTTTGACCCGCAGCGGAATCAGATTTTGAAAAGCACGTACTGAACTGCTTCAGCTTTTGGTTCAGATTTTGACAGCAGATTTCTGGAATCGGATTCTGCTGGGTTCGTCTTTTGATTCAGATTCTGCTGCGCCGCAGCGGAATCCGTCCATAAAAGCTGAACCAAACAGGGCAAGAGCCACAGAGACACACACACACACAGAGGGAGACACAGAGACACACACACAGAGAGAGAGAGGAGGTTCAAAGCCATGGCTTCATATTTTCACTAATAAAGTGTATCACTGCAGCACCACTGATCACCTCAGGGTTCATGCTTGGGTTCTTGGTAGAATATTGAGTCATTTCTATAAACATGTACTCCCTCCGTCCGAAAATACTTGTCATCAAAATGGATAAAAAGAGATGTATCTAGAACTAAAATACGTCTAGATACGTTCCCTTTTATTCATTTTGATGACAAGTATTTTCGGATAGAGGGATCTTTAAAATTCTCCGATCTAATAAAATATGAGAAAAGAGCAACCTATCAGTTATGCACATGTAAAAACTGTCTATGTCTTCGATTTGCTAATTTATATTCAGAACGGAACCCATTTAAAGAATATGATTCATTCCCTTTTACTTTCATGCCTCAGAGACAATAAAATTGCAAAGATGAGCTACAAGCTGCTAGAAGTATACGGAAGGACATGTACTCCTTCACTGTAAGACAAACAATAAGACTTTAAGTAGTAGCACCTCTTTAGTGCATACACTCTGTTGTATGTTCTTCCTCTATTCCAAAATTCCACTCACGCGATCAAGAAGTATTTCATTGTCTTGATATAAAGGGAAACAATATTGCTATTTCAAGATAGCCGAAAATATCAACATTGTCTCTGGTTTTCAAATTTGCTTTCAATATTTTTCCTATATTTTGTTTCCAAATTTATGTCATAATGTCTTTTTTTTTGTTCATCACGTTATAAATCAGCCAAGGATGATGTTACCAAGCGAATCATCCACGATAGGCTATTTTTAAGAATATAAACGACGTTTAGACTTCAGAATAATTACAACAATTACGAAGACATAGAAAAAACAGTGCTGAAACGTAGACATACAAGTCTAAAAAAAACAAGATTAATACTAGCATAACATCAACGCAACATTGCCTCGATGCTAGTACTTTCTACTCAAAAGCCCACTGGTTCTCCTTGCGGATCTCCGTCTCCTCCTCGGGTGTGAAGTCATTCTTGATGTTAAAAATCTTGCGAATCTCCTCTAGAGTCTTGTCCTTGATCATGTCGGCAACAGTCTGGCAAGTAAGGTCGAGCAATCCCTTGATGTTGAGGTAGTTTGCAGCCAGGATAAGGTCGAAGATGGTGGCCTGGTCGACCTTGACGAACTCGGCGTCAAAGCTCTTGAGGTCCTCGGCGGGGGCGGCGTCTGCAGTAGAGGTGGAGGAGTTGGCGTCAGCGGCGGCGCCGGAGTTAGCCGGTTTGGGGCTGGTCTGAACGTGCTTCTTGCAGTACTCAATGACCTTGGAGAGGATCTTTGAGTCGACGTTGGGGGAGCGGGATGCCGTTGTCAGCGCAGTCATCCTCAATCATGTGGCGGATGGTCTGCGACTCCATGGCTACCGCCTCCTCGACGTCGAACTCCTGACCGTCCGAGCTCTTGAGCGTGACCATCTTCTTCTCGCCTTCAACGGCCACCATTGATCAGAAGATTGGGAGAAGAAACAAAACCCTAGCGAAGAAGGCGCGGCGGCGGAAGAGCAATCTAGAGACAGGAGCGTTTTCTGCGTGTTGGGCTAGGGTGGGGAACCGGGCATTTTTATTGGGGCCGGTGAGGCGTTGCCATTGTGGACTCGGGGGATATCCATCGTGCTCGTGCCGTATTCATCGGGGAGTTAGACTCGGGTTTGAATCCATCACGGCGTCATGTCTCGTCAACGTGTCTACTCTACACACACACACACACACACACAAAAACGTGTCTATATAGTAGTCCTATACAAAGCACGACGCTGTGGGTTCGGCTCGAGGTGAGATTATATGGCATCTGTACAATGACTGATAAGTCAGACCTTGACCTTTTTTTTTGTCGAATTCTGTGCTAGTTTTCCCCAGGTACAACTGGATTAAAATGTGTATGCTGCTGTGCAATACCGAGAAATACCGGCTGACATAATCTCACCGCTACACAAATACGACCGCACAATGAGGCGATCCAGGTGGTTTTGGAGACAACAAAAGGAGGAGCGACTCCCGATCATCGACGATGGTGCTTTCCCGGCGAGATCCTGTAGTGGGCCATGATGGAGACAGAGTCGGTTAATCCAAATCAATTGGCGTGCTAAAAGGCTTATTAGTCACATACAAGCCCCGGATGCGGAAGATGCGGTGGCGGTGGTGATGGAATTGCCGGTGCCACGCACCCAGGGGACACGATTGTGCTTACGACGATGAGGAGACAGAGGTACCCGAGGAGGACGATGGTGACCAGAGTGAGGATTACACATCTTCATGTCGCTCTCCCCAGTTTCCTTGCCGTTCATAGAGGATCCATGCCCTACGCCGTGTTGTCGCCATGGAGTAGGAGCCACCCCGGCCGACAATAGCTTCTGGTTGCTGGCCGGGGAGGACTCTGACGGTGGATTGTCATCACCGATTCCAAGTAGGCATGAGTGCCCCTCTTAAGAATTTCACGTTCTCCTGCTCAACTTGTGGGTGTGGGGATTGTATCTAAGAGGGACATGTTTCGTAGGAAAAAATCGCATGCTTATATTGGTTCGTTGTTTGATTCTCCGATGAAAGAGGATCATACCAATAGTTATGCTCTATCCTCACATGATAGTGATTTGTCTTTCTCTGAAATTATGGATGATGTTATTTCAGTAATTACAAATTACGATCATAGCAATAGTCATGTTCTATCCTCGCATGATAGTGATAGTCTTCTTCTGATATTTTGGATGATGTTATTTCAATAATTAGAAATTATGATAATGTGATTGCTGATTACAATAATATATGAATGTTAGTGATGGGGATTCAGTTAAACCGGCTATGAGCATGAGAAAATTTCCAGCTATCCATGTCAACTGGACAACATATATGCTTTATTTTGGGCTTTATTATCTAGATCGTACGACAATTGAGATGGGGAATCTTGAGCGGGACAAGAGTCAAGAACATGGGTGTAGGCTTTTGCCTTTGGAACCTTCTACTACTATGTTAAGTTGTGGACTTGTTGGACCGGGCATTTTTCTTTATCTTGGAAGCCCTAGGACTCAGTTTAGGGAAGCGCATCATGAGAATACACCGTTTTGATGCCTTTAGATAAATATAGATGTGTGTTGGTACCCTATTTGGAAGGGATGGGTTTGGACTTCTGTGATATGAGGTTAGGGTTCACCCCTATGTCGTCGGCTCAAGAGGAAATATAGATG